ACAACATAATTGACACTTCCTATAAAGGGCAAATTACATTTTTTTTTTGTTTCCTGAAGTAGAAGTCACTATCAACTTGAACAACTCTTGCTAACAAAATACAAATTCTTCAGCAGAACACCACTTACCTGTATGACTTAGCCATCATATGTACTTTCGCTTTCACTTCAATGGGACATTATCTAACAATAATGTCCCTAAACCTATTAAGTTGGGTGCCAAAATAAGACATTAAAAACTACCTCCGATTCGCCGATTTCGACTATGATACCGAGTACCTCCTGTTCCGGGAAGGCGTCGACTTCGCTTCGTCCGCATTACCATTGCCAGAGCCGAGACTCTCGGAGGAATCCGAGCCGCTGTTGTTTTCGCTCTGGCTTTTGCTTGAGAACATCTTCATGAACACTTTCTTCGACCGGAGCAGCCCCTTCATCTTGGTTATCGTGGCCTTGTCCACGCTGGGCTTTCCGTCCCCGTTCCTCTCGGACCCTCCTCGGGCCCCGATGCTCAGCCGCAGCGAGGCCAGCTCGGTCTTGAGGGCCTTGAGCTCTTCCGCCGTGGCCACGGCGTCCCAGTCTTCCTCTGTGTTGGTCGTGGCGGACCTCGAGCTTCCATGGGACCCATTGTTCAGCTCCCGAAGGCTTTTGGGGAGGTCTGGGGTGCTGCTCCCAGATGACGCAGCCACCCTGACCAGCTCAAAGAAGAGCACTTGCACGACGACGCGCAAAGGGAGCCTCTCATTTTGCACGGCGTGCATGCACGCATCGACCGAGAGCTTCTTGCAGTCCATCAGTTTGCAAATCCTCTTCCTCTCACTCTTGGTGATCCCAGGATGCTCCTGCATTGATGTCAGTTCAACACAAATCATCAACATTAATGATCCCAAATCAGAATTCGCGTTTCTTTGGTAAGACGGATCGAAATCAGATCTTTTTGGAATAAACTTAACAGTTCGAAATGCTCCACGTGCTTCAGATATAAGTACATCCTAAAGTCCATGAGAAAACGAGAACAGCATGAAACTGTTACCTTGAGATACATGTCGATGGCTCGGTAAAGTCCATCATGGGAAGGCCGAGGAACACTTGACATCATCTCAGCAAGTTCAACAAACTTGGACAAAGGCAGGTTATGATCTTTCGATATTTCAGCGAGGTATGCATCAATTAGTTTTGCCACCATCAGCTTGGAAGCATCGGACAAGATCCCCAGCCTCCTCATGCCTGGCAGCTCATGTTCTTCTTCAACGGACTCGATCTCCTGGCTCTCCCGTGACAAGAATTCCTCAACTACAGCAATTACAGTGCCAGCATCGTACATCATACTTTCTCCTTCTGGTGCCCGTATCAGGAGATCATTCACATTAGCCTCCTCTAATTGCTGTCCTATCTTCCTAATCAAGTCCCTTTTCGCCGTCTCCCTTGAATCGACACAAATGGCCGCCTTTAACAACTTGAGCAAGAAACTACAGGAGATGCTCCATTTCTCTCCAGGTAACAACCGCACGACTGTTTCTACCACCAGCCGATACTTCGGTGTATCTATGCACTTGCTCATACCTTTGCTGATCCCAGGCAACCTTCTGTAAGCATAAGCTTTCAGTGCTTCACCGATGATTTCGCCAGGAAGTATCCCTTTCATTTTGATATTCATCAAAACACGCTTGTATAACTCGATCTCGAGCTCACAAAGATCCTCGACCCACCAGTCCTTTGGAACCACACGAGTTCGGACACCATTTGAGTCCATCCCATTTTCCTCTCCCAGCTTCTTCCGGTTGTAGGAGTAGGACCAATCGACCTTGGAGATGTCAACACAGGCCTTCCCTGCAATCAACTCAATACTTTGATTCACCAACTTCAATTCCTCAGAATGTGGTAATAAGGATTTTGTGGTCTGAAGAACGATGATCGAATCCTTCCAACTACGGAAAATGCTAGAGCTAAGAAAAACTTCAATCTTGTAGATAAGATTCCCCTTTTCAACTGTCTCGTACATTTCTAAGCACTCGGCGGCACACCTCGCAGCGACGACATTGTAGGCATTTAGGGTGACAGTCATGCCATAACAGAACTTGGCGCAGACCTCAAATGAGGCAGGACCACCGGGAATGTCCGAGATGTTGACTTCATCGCTGTCATCATTATTGGTAGCTGCGACCAGTTTCTGCAGAAGTGCGCTCTTTGACAGAAGAGGAAACTGCAACAAGCAGGTAAATTCCTTACTAAGATAGAAGTTCCAAGTCATTACAGGATACATTAACGACTAGACTACTCTATGTGATCAAAGTTGAAGTTTATGCAAGGGCAAGTTTATGCACTGATTGGTTCATCAGAAGAATTCATAGTTCAATTACAATTGCTTAATCTGCCAATTTTCAACTAAGGAAACAAATTATACGGTCCGGCTTGCCATGGAAATTGGTTTTTGATGGAAGAAATTTAATCTATACCATTGTCCACGGGAATCTGAGGAGTCCAACGCAGTAGTCAAGCTAGATAGGAGACCTATTGTAGTGCTAAGAAGTTATAACAAGTGTTTGCTTTGCACAGAATTACGTATGGCAACCTCATTTCAAATAAAGTAGCAAGAGAAGTAGGCCAAAACTTTGCTTCTTACTTTATCATGACATGGCTAGACATTAACGCGACGGCAACAGAACCTTAAAAGGTAATTTCAGCACTTTGATTATGCGAGGCAAAATAAGCCGAGAAAGTCGCCAAGCCATTGCTTTTTTTGTTGTAGTTGTATGAAAAGGGTACCGAGTTGACCATACCTTATGCAAGTAGAACTTTACACTCCCAACACTAACAGTGATATCAGTTGCCAACTCACTTGAAACGTACCTGCACGTTGTCATGCCCCCTTATAGCGTTATTCAAAAGAGCAAATAAACCGATACGACCATGCAGACATGATTTCCAGAATGAACGTTCACAACATAATGCGCGAAAGTCGAGCACTTCAAGGCATGGCTGATTAAAAAAAAAACTCCACATGAAGTTGCAAAGGCATGCATTGGCCTATCAAGAATCTCCCCCACTTACAAAACACAGAACAATTTCAATTTACTTGCCAATTGAACTGCTTGAGATGGAGAAAACCCATAAAACATACACAGAAGTCAAGTCTTTTGAAGAGAAAATTTGTGCAAATGTTGAATACTGTGGACTGCTGTCGATGAATAAAATGTCATCAAGACAGCGTTTGCGAATAGCTTTTATAGCGGCTTGTGCGTGTTGAATAAAATGTCTGTTCTTTGTAGCAGCAACATCCACAACATTCGTTTGCTTTTTGAATTTAGAGAAAGAAATTTGTTCTCATCCATCAAGCTCGTTTCGCTTTCAAACTGCATAAACTCAACAAACTTTTTGCACAAATATAATATCTCATGCAATATATTATGCTCTTTCTTAGAATAAAATTGAATAGCAATTATAATAATATCAAAATATTTAACTTATCCTTTCATAAGACGCATTAAGCGTTTGCTCAGAATATTTTGATATGCCTCCAATAATTTGTGAGAATATTGTACAAAGAGGAAATTTTCTATCCTTCGAAAATAATGCATAATCTTTTTGCAATATTAGGAACAAAATTTCCAAACTTCATATGGAAAGTCTCTTTTGCTACCTACAAATTATTGTAGAGGAGACAATATCTTTGCAAAATATAGAGAATTTCCTGTACATACCTTCCTCATATTTGCGAATCAAACTTGACAATTATAAGATATCTTCTAAGAATATGGCAAGTGTATGCAATAATAGCTTTCAAGATGAAAAGATTCTCCTTTAGCATAAATCTCAAATGCATAAAGATAATATAACATTAACGAATTTTGTAAAAGGAATGTAGATATTTTAAGCATTAAAACTCTGCAATATCTTACATGCATGGCACTACAAAAAAAACAAGGGTTTTGCCACGAATTTTGCCACAAAAAATTTGGCAAAATTCGTGGCAAAACGAATTTCCAACGAAATTAGCGACGAAAAAAAATTCGTCGCTAATTCGGCATCGCAAATTTTTGCGACAAAAAATTTCAATTTTCGTTGGTAATTTGCGACGAAAAAAAATTCGTGGCTAAATTTCGTGAGAAAATTCGTTGCAAAATTCGTCGCTAATTATTCATTGCAAAAATCGTGGCAAAATTCGTCGGTAATTTTCCGTGGTAAAATTCGTGGCAAAACGAATTTCCAACGAAATTAGCAACGAAAAACAATTTGTCGCTAATTCAGCGCCAGAAATTTTTGCGACAAAAAATTGTAATTTTCGTTGGTAATTTGCGATGAAAAAAAATTCGTGGCTAAATTTGTTGCAAAATTCGTCGCTAATTATTTGTTGCAAAAATCATGGCAAAATTCGTCAGTAATTATTCGTGGTAAAATTCGTGGCAAAACGAATTTCCGACGAAATTAGCGACGAAAAAAAATTCGTCCCTAATTTGGCGTCGAAAATTTTTGCGACAAAAAATTGTAATTTTCGTTGGTAATTTGCAATGAAAACAAATTCATGGCTAAATTTGTTCGTTAACGAATTTAACCACAGAAAAATAAAAAAATATATATTTTTTTTGAAAAAAAAAGTATATAAAAAAAATTCGTGACAAAATTCGTATCAAATTAGCCACATAAAAATAAAAAATATTTTTTTTTGAAAAAAAAATTGTATAAAAAAATTTTCGTTGCAAAATTCGTCGCAAATTCGCCACAAAAAATAAAAAAATTATTTTTTTGAAAAAAAATTATATAAAAAAAAATCCGTGACAAAATAAGTCACTAATTTGCCACAAAAAAATAAAAAGAATAAGGTTTTTTTGGTCACATTTTTTGCAACGAACTTATTCGTGGCAAAACTCATCACTAATTTGCCACGAAAAAATTTTACTTTTGCAACGAATATTGTTCCGGAACGAATTTAGCAACGAATATTGTTTAGGGACGATTTCGATTTTAATTTCTAGAATTTATATTTAACATTGATTAAGCAGTTAATAACATCAAAATATTATAATGATATATAAATAAAATACATTCATCAACATTTGCCACGCAAATGACAAAGTTCAAAGTAATTCACCTCCTTCATTGATGTCTAGATGATAATTTAGAAGCAACTATCAGTGTTTCCCTCTCGCCTACTCCCACTGTGTTCAACACAACATATCAAGACCGATTGAAAACTCAATAGCTTAGAGTAGATCGCATATTCTGAAGAGAGTGTGTTTGAAGGACTGCCACACATTGACGTTATTAAGTACTTCAAGCAATCTTCTTGGATCTGAACAGCCATCACGAAAGTATTCAGCGACCGCAATATTGTGGAGGACCTGCATTGCACTAATGTTTTAGCTCAGACCATGGTGATTTAGGCGAGTTATACAAAAAGAACGACTTCTTTATTCAAGAAATTCCATATATAAGCACTAAAAGAAAAGGCAAAGCACGCACAGTCAGGAACAGCCCAAGTGGATAGGAAGTCAGAATTTCAATCAAGACCCAGAAATTAAACCTCAAACCAATAGAAGATACAGCATGCTTACCATGTAGAAGAAAAGCTCACAACAGACCCAATGGATAACTAAACATGCGAATCCGAAACTAGAATTTGTTTACTGATCAAATAAAGTAAACTGTCTAAACTTAGGCATACAGAAAACAAATATGGTGCCATTATCGACTATACAGTGCAAGAGCTAACCCTTTTGGAAATTTGAACAATGCAAAAGCTAACCCTTTTGCTCGACATGTTCTTTTTAGATAAAAGGGTGAAGAATTTGTTGGTTGTCAGGTTTAATTTCTGATGAAAAACAGTGCAAAAGCTAACCATTTTGTTTCAAAGAGCAAGAGCTAAACTTGACAAAATGAAACTAACTTGCTATTGCCTCTGCCACCTATTACATGATTTTACAGTGTGAACCCAATGTCATCACAAGTTCTCACCAAAATGACAATCGAGAATGCAGCAGCAAAGTGTTAAACTAGAGTTGATATTTCTGTGTAAAACTCACTGAAAACCTGTTTACCACCAAAAGAGCTTACATACATCATCATGGACTCAGCAACAATTTAAAAGGTCAAATACAATCGGCACAGTAAAACATACCTGGTACATCTTTAATCCTGTTTTGTTATTTGAAGCAGGGTTGGCACTTCCAGGCTCCAATAAATCATCTTCCCCATTGGCAGCAAAAATCCCACTACCGGTGATTTCTTTCAACTTGTAGGCAGAACAAGACTTCCTAGAAGATTACAAAAGCACTATTCTATGAAGAAGAAGACAAGGAAAAAGCCACAATAAGCGGAGTCCAAGTGCAAAGGCATTATGAAAGCTTATGTAACTCTCTTGACAAGGAGGATATAAAAAGGTCACGTGTGTATGAGAGCGTGCCCACAACCAAACATGCATGCTTGTGCGCCTTTGTGTGGGTGCATGTGCATTTGTGCCAAATATCCATCCCCATTCTATATGTGTACGAAAAAAGATAGATAGGTAGCCAAGTAACTGGCTTTTTAGATGGACATGTTTGTGCGTGCATGTATTTGTAATTGTATATGTAATGACTTTTCTGTATGTACATGTTATCCATGGATTGAACCTTTTCCTAATCTAGCAACAAACAATTGTTTCTATTGCAGCACTTTTTAGAAGGATGTTGACGATGCACTATTTGTGACTTACCAATCCTCAGCAAAATGCCATCTCCTTTACATGAATGGACTAAGAACAACCTACTCTTACATGGACTAGAGCTTTCACATATCAATAACATATTTCACATATGCAAATTGAAAAGACATCGAAAATAAGTTCACATCAGCTAAGCACCTATTACAATTGTATCTAGATCAGAGTTCGGTAGATTGTCAATGGGATGATCAAATCGGCATTTTCATGACCGCAGAAGTTCAGCAGACATTGAAGGAGCCCCATATGATAGTCGCCAAAGAAATGTTTACTTCTCGAATCTGGACATCTAAGGAACTTACGCTGTCCATCTAATTACTATTAATTGAAGAGCCATTGAATGGAAGGGGAATGACCGGACTATCTCAGTTAGATATGAGGGTTTGCAATAGAATCAAGCTCAAGAGACCAACCAGACTTCTAAGGCCAAGGAAGATGAGCAAGCTCGACCTACCAAGGCATCTGAAGTTCTAAGATCCACCCAATTGACCAAGATTACTCCATCAACAGCCACCCCCAAAAAAATTTCCCTTCTTTTGTAATTTAAATGAAGGTGGTAAAGATTATCATGTTGGATTCAAAGTTTCTGCCTTCATTCCCCGCAGATCGATCACTACACATCCACATTGAACCTATATTACACAATCCAACCATAATTTCTAAAGAAAGAAAATCCAAAGCATTGGAGAACATGGAGAGAATGCGGACAAATAGGTAAAACGGCGGCGACCCATTCCGCCAAATGAAACATTGCATTTAAGGGGAAAAAACACAAAACGTCATCAACAAACAGGGAGAGGGGAAAGAAACCAAGAAGAGCAGATCTAACCTTTTGTTCAAATTCTCAGATTTCTCTGCAGTCACTTGGACCTCCAAACACCACCTTGCTGATCCCATCCGAAGGCTAACAGCATCATCCCCCCAGAACAACCCGTTAAAAAAGGAAAGCCCAAGAAGAGATAAAAAAAAAAAAAGGCAGAAGGTGATAGCGAACGCCGCACCTGGTGAGAGCGAGCATTGGAGCGAGAGGAAGCCGAACCGGGCGCGACCGAATCGTGGGGAGGCGGAGTCTCCGACCACGCGAGCAGATCTGAAGTCGAAGTGTGAGGCTTCCTCACCGGCGTGCTCCTCTCCATTTTCTTCCTTTTCCCCAGAAAAAAAAAAAAGGAAGAACACCCAAGAAAGAACTCACGCCGATTCGAGCCTCGCCCCGCTCTCGCTCTCCGCGAACGCGGTCCCGAAGAACGGGCTCCGCGCGGCGATGCAGAGCCCGCCGATCCCGCCCCCGACCACCACGCAATCAACCAGTCCCCCGCCGGCGGCCCTCAGCAACGAAGTACCGGATCCCGGCCTCGCCCATGGCCACCGCTCGTCCTCGCCGTCGCCCAGATCTAGGCGACGGCGAGGTCGAACAGCCATGGGCGAGGTCGAGCGGCGGCCATGGGCGAGGCCGCTCGACCTCGCCTAGATCTGGGGCGAGGGAGGGCTGGTGGGCGCAGAACGGGCGTATGGCAACGGAGGAGGAGGCGACGGCGATGGCGGTGAGGGTGGCCATCATGGCTGGCGGAGGGGAGGGGGGAGCGACGGAGAGGTGTTTGGCGGAGGGGGGGATCTGAGGAATAGCAGAGAGAGAGAGAGAGAAAAAAAAAATTAGGGTGAGGGCGGGCAGATTTGAGAGAGGGCGGGAAGCAAAATCAGCGACGAACATTATCTTTTGTGGCTAATTAGCGACGAAAAAAAATTGGTCGCTAATTAGCCACGAATTTAGTGACAAATTTGACCTCACAAATTTTAAAAAATTAAAAAAATTTGTGAAGAATTATTTTTCGTGGCTAATTCCGTCGCAAATTAGCCACGAAAAATAATTCGTCGCAAAATTTTTTCCTTTTTTTAAATTGATAATGTCGAGTTCATGGCTAAATCCGTCGCTAATTAGCCACGGATTTTTTTCGTGGCTAAATTCGCCGCAAATTAGCCATGGAAAAAAATTCGTCGCAAAATTTTGTTATTTTTTAAATTGGTAATGTCGAATTCGTGGCTAAATCCATTGCAAATTAGCCACGAATAATTTTTCGTCGTAAATTAGCCACGAAAAAAAATTCGTCTCTAATTATCCACGAATTTTTTTTTCGTGGCAAATTCCTTCGCAAATTAGTGACGAATATTTTTTCGTCGCTAATTTTCGTGGCGAAATACTTGTTTTTTTGTAGTGAAACAGTGAAGGCAGTTTTATATCTGTCCTTTTCATTGATTTGTATTTGCCAAAATCCTGATTTCATATCAAATTTATAAAATAATTTTGAATTGTGTAATCTATTCAATAAGTCTTTTTTATTAGGAATTGGATATCTTATCCATTTCAGAGCTGTATTTAAAGGTTTATAGTTGATTACCGATATTGGAACTCCTCTTTCTAATTTAGCATTTTTGTTTACATAGAAAACAGAGCAACTCCAAGGTAATTAGCCCTTTCTAATGAGATTTTTATCAAGAAGTTCTTGGATTTCATTTTGACAAAAATTCATGACTTCCTGATTCATTTAGGAAGGTCGTGCCTTGGTCCGGATTTCTTTTTCAAAAAATTAAGATTCATAAGGTAAATCAACTATATGATATTTTTTAGACCAAAAAGCATTAGGAAGTGTCGAACATATAGAACTTTTTATGCAAATTTAAAGATTAGCAATTATTTTCTTAATAGTAGAATCAGAAAAATTTTGCTCAATTCTTTTATGTTCAAGGTCTTCTTTTAAATATTGAAGGTGGTTTTCTTATTTTGGATAATACAATTTATTTCAGAAACGGATTGTTCCTGAAGTGTACTTAAGTTCTTGGTCTGTGGTTTGCTTATAATATTAAAAATTATTTTCCGTTTTTAAAAATTTGGTCTCGATACCATCATTAGTAATTTTAAAAGGTTGTATAAGTCCTATTAAAGGAGTCCTTATAAGTCCCTAAAATGATAATTTTAAAAGGTTGTATAAGTCATATAAAAGGAATGAAGTTTTATAAGAAGTATTATCTTTTATTATTTCGCCTTCTGGAATCTTATAATTAATATGTAATTTTGCGACGAACTTTTTTGTTCGTTGCTAATTAGCCACGGAAAATAATTCGTCGCAAATTTTTTTTTATTTTCTAAAATGTTAAAGTCAAATTCATCGCTAAATCCGTCGATAATTAGCCACGGAAAATAATTCGTAGCAAAATTTTTTTATTTTCTAAATTGTTAATGTCAAATTTGTCGCTAAATCCGTCGCTAATTAGCCACGGATTTTTTTTCGTCACAAATTTTCTAAATTGGTAATGTCAAATTCATCTATAAATCCGTCGCTAATTACCACGAAAAATAATTCGTCGCAAAATTTTTTTATTTTTTAAATTGGTAATATCGAATTCGTGGCTAAATCCTTCGCAAATTAGCCACCAATAATTTTTCGTCACAAATTAGCCACGAAAAAAAAATTCGTCGCAAACTTTTTTTATTTTTTAAATTGGTAACTGTTTGCCTGCTTTTTTAAAAAAAATTGTGGCAAATTTGCCATGAATTTCAAAAAAAAGGTATTTATTCTAGTACTATTTTCGTGGAAAATTTACCACGAATTTTGCCACGAAAATCAAGTCTCGCAGCATTTATTCTAATATGTTCTATTTTCGTGGCAAATTTGCCACAAATTTCAAAAAAAGGCATTTATTCTACTATGTTTGATTTTCGTGGCAAAATTCGTGGCAAATTTGCCACGAATTTCAAAAAAGGCATTTATTCTACTATGTTTGATTTTCGCGGCAAAATTCGTGGCAAATTTGCCACGAATTTCAAAAAAATGCATTTATTCTAATATGTTCGACATTCGTGGAAAAACTCGTGGCAAATTTGCCACGAATTTTGCCACGAAAAATCAAATTAAGCCGGTATGCAGGAAACTTGATTTTCGCGGCAAAATTTGCCACGAATTTTGCAACGAATTTCGAACATATTAAAAAAAATGCTTTTTTTGAAATTCGTGGCAAATTTGCCACGAATTTTGCCACGAATTTCGAACATATTAGAATAAATGCCTTTTTTTGAAATTCGTGGCAAATTTGCCACGAAAATCAAGTTTCCGGCATACCCGGCTTAATTTGATTTTTCGTGGCAAATTTCCCCCGAATTTTGCCATGAATTTCGAACATATTAGAATAAATGCCGCGTTTTTTTAAATTTGTGGCAAATTTATCACAAATTTTGCCACAAATTTCAAAAAACGCGGCATTTATTCTAATATGTTCGAAATTCATGGCAAAATTCGGGGGAAATTTGCCACGAAAAATCAAGTTTCCGGCATACTAGCTTAATTTGATTTTTCGTGGCAAAATTCGTGACAAATTTGCCACGAATTTTGCAACGAATTTCGAACATATTAGAATAAATGCCTTTTTTGAAATTCGTGGCAAATTTGCCACGAATTTTGCCACGAAAAATCAAACATAGTAGAATAAATGCCTTTTTTGAAATTCGTTGCAAAATTCGTGGCAAATTTGCCACGAATTTTGCCACGAAAATCAAGTTTCCGGCATCCCCGGCTTAATTTGATTTTTCGTGGCAAAATTCGTGGCAAATTAGCCACGAATTTTGCAATGAATTTCGAACATATTAGAATAAATGCTTTTTTGGAAATTCGTGGCAAATTTGCCACGAATTTGAACATATTAGAATAAATGTTTTTTTTAAATTCGTGGCAAATTCATGGCAAATTTTCCACGAATTTTGCCACGAAAATCAAGTTTCCGGCATCCCGGCTTAATTTGATTTTTCATGGCAAAATTCGTGGCAAATTTGCCGTGAATTTGCAACGAATTTCGAACATATTAGAATAAATACAAATTTTCCACGAATTTTGCCACGAAAATCAAGTTTCCGGCATCCCTGGCTTAATTTGATTTTCGTGGCAAAATTCTCAAATTAGCCACGAATTTTGCAATGAATTTCAAACATATTAGAATAAATGCTTTTTTGGAAATTCGTGGCAAATTTGCTAATTTTGCCACGAATTTCGAACATATTAGAATAAATGTTTTTTTGAAATTCGTGGCAAATTTTCCACGAATTTTGCCACGAAAATCAAGTTTCCGGCATCCCCGGCTTAATTTGATTTTTCGTTGCTAATTTGCGACGATTTTAGTTTTCGTGGCAAAAGTCGTCGCAAATTTGCGACGAAAAATTATTCATCGCAAATTTTCGTGGCAAAATCCTAGTTTTTTTGTAGTGTGGCAACAAATATTACCAATTCATATCCCATCATGCATGTACCTTTCCTCTTTAGAAATAATTCATCATTTGAGATCCTTCTTTGATTGTATCATGATTTGTGTAGGTTTGCAATCACTCTTCCTTTATATAATTGCCTGCAATAAACTCATTTCCCTTTTGATATCCATGTATTTGGATCATTTCCCTTTGTTAGACGCAAAATAGGAAAGCTTCATAGAAACCCAAGGATACTTTCCCAACTCGTCTCAGTAGAGTATTTAAGGGAAAATATCATGCATAATAAAATAATATCTCGTAAAAAAATTTCTTTCTTTGTAAGGCATGACAAGATCGGAGAGCACGTAATGAGTCCATAAATCCGAATTATTTCTTTCCCAAAATGAAATAAGATATCAATCAATCTCTTTAATAAAATTTCATCTCAAGATCCATCAAAATAAAATTGACTTTTATTTCAAAAGGACATTTCCAACACAATTATAGAACATGCCATTTCAAGTCTTAATCAAGCAAAGCATAACACGGATAAATAAAATGTTAAGTACAAAGAGAATTCATAGATATTTAAAATATGTATCCAAAGAAAATTGAGAATTTAAAAATATACCTTTACCTACCAAATTCTCTTTCCTTTATTTCCTACAAGAAAAGAAATCTCATCTTTTCTTTGGTACCCAAATGAATTTGGGTCCTTTTACGTTAGTAGATTCTACTGTTCTCATAAAGGTTCTTCGAACTGGTTTCCAAACCTTTGGGCAATCATTTTCAAAATGATTAGGATCCCCACAGATTGAACACTTGAAGGAGCTTCGGCCAATAGGTTTTGTAAATTGTTTTCAAAAATTATTTTTGTAAACTTTGTTTGAAGACGTATGCTTTAATTTTTCCTTGACATTTGGAAAATCATTTTTTATTGAACTTTTCTTTTCAAAACCAAGTCTAGATTTTAGAAAAGATGGAACTTGTATGGAAAGAGTATGTCCTAAAGTTTTCGAACAAGAGAGAACTTTTTATTAATATTTGAAATTTCCTTTTTCAATAAATCATTTTCTTTCTCTTGCATATTTCAACTTTCTTCAATTTGCAAAAATTCCTTTCGCAAAAATTCAATTTTGTCTTTTTGAGAAAGATCT